TTTCGATGGTATGATTTATTTACAACACGTCGAGAAACTCTTAAACATTTGACGCACGGAGGCCTAATTTCAAACAAGCATTACACTGGATATATTCATTTAACAGACAATATATGCTAGAGAACTACTTTATTATTCCGTAAAACAGAACAGTATGCATGGACGTAGGATATTTGATCTATATGTAACTACTAATGTTATTTGCGTTTGGCGAGAATGTCGTCGGAGGAAAAGCAACTGGCTAACAGTTTTTTGTGGGAAGGGGGATGCTACACTTTGGTCTACACAAGTATTATTTTAAGCCTTGTTAATTGTTTGGGATGCATCAGCTTTCTTTGCTGGGGCACGTTTTTCTTGAGATTTCTTGCTCTTGGCATTCCTTTCCTTCATGTTTGGGTTTTGTGCCTTCTTGGCTGGTTTCTCAGCCTTCAAGTCTTTGCGATTCAGTTTGCTGTTTTCGTGCAGTGCAGGCTGTCTGACTTCCTTATTTGGTGCTTGTCTTTTCTCGGGCTTAGCGACATTACGCTTTTTGTTCATCTTCTCAGCTGGGACGCGTTTCTCGTCTTTCTTGTGAGGTGCGGCATTCTTAGATTTCTTGGAGGCTGGCTGTGTCTTCTGCAACAAAAGGGAGTAGATACACAAAATAAACATCCATTCTGACAGGCATAATATCATATCGCGATTAAAAGTTTTTGATTTTTTTTCAAAATGTGATTAAAAAACATAACATTGGACAATATGTAGAAAACGTATTCCAGTAACTACTGTAGAATACTTTATTTTGGCTTGGAATTTATTTTTGCTATTTTCGCTGAAGGAATGATTCAGTGAAAATAAAATCCAGCGAATATACTTTTTTTCCTATATTTCACATTAAACTCATCAAAAATCAGTGAAAATAAATTCCATACAAAACGCCCAAAAAGCCTTTTCAGCGAAAATTAATTCCAGCGAAAATAAAGTATTTCACAGTAATATACTTGTGTGCCAGCTGGACCAGATCAATCGAATTGCGAGGTCGGAACACAAAGGCGATACATTCACACTCAAACTAATTGTACAGATGAATGTAACTGAACAGATTTCGAGGAATGTAAAGCAAATGTATACAAACGGATATACATAAGACGAATTTTAATTTATGTTGGTGCGACTACTGGGCATGACAATTTACTAGGAGTTATATGAAAAAGAAAACAACCATTACTCGGCAGATTTTTTCTATGTTATAAATAATCATTATTATCTTACCTCATGTTCACGTTTCTTCTGTTCTGGCTTGCGCTCTTTTTTCTCAGCAGCAGGCTTTACACCAGCGTCCTTCTTTTCAGCGACCGCAGCCTTCACGTCTTGCTTGGCCGGTTCGTTCTTGTCTACTGTAGCTGCATGCAGAATACATGCCGTAACGACCACGCACAGTGCAACGAGAATAAGGCGATTCATATTTGATGCGAGTATATCGGTTGTAACAAACGATGTCTTGGATTTGATGTGGGGTGGCAGGCATATTAGTAGTACTACAATGCAAATAATGACGTGTTCCTAACTAATAATGACAACTTGTTCGTGCATGACTCGTGACTCACATCTGTTGACGTGGCAAAGTAAATATCCAAAGCACAGTTGGAAATAAACACAAATATACATTAATTATATTTGTAAAACTTTTTAACATGTTCATTTCGGATTTGTGTTTACATCCGTTGTTTTCCTCCGGAACGAAACATCAATATAACACGCACATTTATGAGTTTATACAAATACCAAATTAATTTCTAGAATATGTCGATCGGTTTCTAACACGTCAGCATTGCCACTAGTATTGTCGTCTATAACAATAACAAAAACTGTCCCGTGGGCTGGGGTAACCCCACACCAGCATGTTGCGTAGTGAGTAATCGAATTGCTGTGAACATCCACACCCGACAACCGTCGTATTAGAGCTTTGTTATAGGGTTGGTGTGTGTACCCTGTATTCGTAATAGTTGATACTGTGACAATCTTTAATTGTAGCGTTTCATGCGTAGCAACGAATGGAGCTAATATTCTGATTTACCTGTAGGCTCTGTTGGCTTAAGCTCATTATATCAATTAGCTGAACATCATGTAGTTTAGAAAAAAATTAAAAATCGGAGTTGGCGTA